ACTACGCAAATTAAAGTATGAAGACCATGATAGATTTTGTAAATATTTGCATATGTTGATGGTCACACTATTGGTGATTTTTCATCAAAAAATTGGAGATGGTACATTTCTAGGTTTAGAGCAATACATTCAAATGCATAACAAAACTGCGAACAAAATGGAAACCACGCAAAATTACCGCAGATCTTTATAAAATGGTTATCATATTGTGGGTTGCTACCATTTTACATAACATTTTTAATGAACGAAGAACAAAGCCCGGTAAGGAAAAACCACTCAAAACAAAACATTAGTTTGCTGAAAGGGTCCCTTCGAGTTATGGTGGACGTTAAAATCCACACCGAATAATTATTTGACATCATAATCTACTAACTTGCCAAATTTCCAGTCAATCGGGCTTCGTTTGACAAAGTTGAACGTAATCAGACCCACGAACAGACAGACCGACAAAACGGTTCCCTAAGCTCTAGCCGAGGCTAAAAATTACTGAGCTCCATTTACTAATTAAAAACCAATGACAACTTCCGAATTTTGGTGAAATATTATAGCCCAAAATAACACCTTAATTTCTCATAAAAAACTGCAAAATTCATCGAAATTTAGCCCCAAACGATTACCATAACAGATACCCTTTTTGTCGAATATTTTAAACATTACACCCTTAAAAATACTGCTACCCTTCTGGAAATTAAATGCACTGTGTATTCTATATTAGGTAAACTATACCAAATCCAGAGTAAAGTTGAGTTGATAAAGAGTGAAGTTCACGCTATATTTAATGTAGCACACGTAATATCAAATTCATGGTGCATTTACTGTTCAAATGGGTGACATTACTTTTATGAGCGTACTTCCGGTATCAGCGACAAGGAAATACTTTCGATTAAATAATTTGGATCATCATTGATAACCTTGTCACTGCAACAAAAATTTTGCATTTGAAACTTTTGGACATAAAGATTTTGGACATATTTTGTAAATTTGAAATATTCTATCCAAGTTTCATATTTCTGCATGTTTTGCAAACTAAACAACCAAGTGTGCCGATACTTGTATTGTCTTCCTAAATAAATGTCTTATTTTGCCTTGAGCACTAACTTTATCATCCTGGCTGAGGAAAAAAACTTGATCAGGTCCAAGAGCAGCAGCTAAGTCTTCTAAGTACATGATCGAAGTTTTACAGAACATGGTGTCGTTATGTTGTTTGTGAACATCGTTTGTAGCGCGGATGAGTCGGACTGGGACCGTGGATACATGCCTTGAGCCTTCTCGTGTCCTTGAATTTTTTGGTAGAAGCCTTAAATAAACCCCACCTCGCTTGACCTAATCGAGAGATTAATGATTAGAATTTTTATGGTTTTGGGCAAGTTAAGATCGACTACCTCAAATCCTTGTTTTTGCAATTCTGTGGTCAGTTCGTCCAAAGTCTTTATAGTGCGAATGCTATCTGAACGACGCCGCTCGTCAGCCCCGCTTCCATAGGTGGCAATATGCACGATTGCCTTTAGTAATCCGGGATGATCGTCCTCCAAACTGGGCCTACCTTCTCTATCGCGTCTTTCTAATTTTGCCTTAGTTTCCGGATTATTGTCCAATAGCTCACAAATAATCTTCTTGTCAATTTCACGTTTGCGTTGTTGTCGCTATCGTCCTTGAATTAAAACGGCTAGATCCTTTTCAAGTATTTTCACATTTCCCTTGGTCTCAGTCAGCTGCTTCAGCTCATCAGTGGTTGCGGTGCCGTTGTCCTTCTTAACCGTTAAAAATGCGATTTTGGCATTACTTTCGTTAATTTTCTTGTGAAGTTCATCCTGCGCAGGGGTACGTGGAGGTTTCCTTGAAGGAATGGGTGCAGCGACATCAATGGGGATAGACTCCTGCAATTATTTTTACCATGCATTTAACTCAAGATTAATCAGTAAAATCAGTAAATCAGTAAAGATTAATCAAACGTATGTATATGTATAAATCACCTTATCTTCGTCAAGAGAATTATCATTCGTGACAGCCTTTTCCGATAGAATTGGGTCATTGTCTTGGTGGACAGGCTTCGGCACGCTTTTCTATTTTCCAAATAAATAAATCAAAGTCGAATTCTATTAATTGCTATGTTAACAATAAATGACGAACAAAATGTGAGTTATTTTTTTATTACAAAAAAAGAGAGCAGGTTCGACTTTCTTGATAACTCTATTTCCTTCAGCTTTCCGACTTCTTCTTCAATCTTGCCCTTATCATTACTGATACTCCTCCAGATTGGCTTGACTTCAAATTCACAGGTTTTGTAAGACTTACTTGGATATGCACTTTGGTATAGTTTTAAAAATTCCATATAAGTTTTATATTTAGTATCCATTTTTGTGCTTTGGAAGAATAATTTTCACTTGGGACAGAACAACATGTGATTTTAACTCTCGTAGTTTTTATTTTACATCGCGGTGCAAAGTCGTCTGTGCATTTCTATGGTGCGTTACAGTAACGTGTCTCAGCTCACCCACCCTCCCCCATGTCACGCTGTGTAACGAACTTTCTACCACCTACCCACCCCTGTTTGCGTTATGAAGTTTATGAACGTCCCCAGACTAATAAATACTGGCTGGAAATATTTACTTATTTTGAACTTAAACTTGTCAATTATTTTTCCATGGATACTGCATATGTGTATCTAAATTACTAAATCACAGTTTATCATAAAATTCAGAAAATCTGCATTTACAAACGCATGCTCATTTTTTCTGCGTGACATATTTGTTTGTGTATGGATTTACATGAACAAAGGCTCCCGAGGAAGACAATGGGCATCATAGCTCGCTCCGACACCTTCACCCTCCACCTGTAATTAGCTCCTCGGCCCGTTCCATGCTTTCTTCGTAAATTGTATCTCTCAATTGTAATTGTAAAGGCAATATACCCATCCGGATATGAAATATATAACCATGCACTTTTTAATTTTTTCTTTTGTTCTTATCATACGTGTCTTACCTGATCAGGAGACCAGTGAATCACTCAGCTACACCTTGGTTCCCATGCCCACTGTCCAGCATTAACATCGCCATTTCTTTCCTCGAACGTTTTGCATCTGCATGCAACATAATGTTTCCATCAATCCGGCACAGATAACAATTTTAAAATTGAATTAAGAACAAATTTCTTAGCTCGAAAGGTCGTAAACAACTTGTAAGGCTATCAGTGTAGGTGTCAAAAGCATTTCGAATCACAAAGTATGGCAATAAATCGTTAACAAATTTCTTTAACTGAAGTGCAAAAAAGTAAGTTGATTTGATAAAATTATTGTTAAATTACCTCCTGAAAATTTGTATGCAAAATTATATAATGCTAAAATAGTTAAAATCACACAAATCTTCTCTTTACTCCTACAGAGATTCTTGGAAGAAAAAAATTAAAGATAAAAAAATATTAAACACCTCCGCTTGAGCGTTTTTTAGTTGTCATGGATATTGAAATGCACGCGATCCCTCGTCATGGGCCAGACGAAGAAATTTTCCGGCCACAGGATCTTGCTTTCTTTTGGTGGCTAGTTTACAAAGCACTCCAACTGTACGTAAATTTACGAAGCAAGTGGACGAAGCTGATGTCATGGCAACCATCCCCAGATTCCGGATGGGTTCAAGTTTTTGAAAAATTACCCGGTTTTAGACAATCTGTGAAACCAGGACTGCATCCACTGATGAGGTAATTGAAATTTGTGAAACCATCTTCTAGACAAGAAAATTCGAATATCGAAAGTAGGCCAAAGCTGATGGAACATTTGAAGCATTTTGTTTTTTGACCGATCCAATTTTTTAGTCCAAAAAGCCATTGGAAAAAATTATTCATTCATGATTCATTCGTTTATTCAGAATTTAAAAAGAAATATTTATTCATTATTTGTTTAGTTTAACTCAAATTCGCCTAATTAATTAGATTTCTAAATATACCTCGTGAATTTTTGCATAAAACGAAAACTAGAATATAGAATAAAATTAGTCCTACTTTCTTCGTGAATATGAAATGAGATGAATATGAATTCCAAAATTAATATTAAATGAGAAAATGAGAAATTGGGAACAGTTTACAATTTGGCAAGAACTATTTACCAATTATTCAGAAATTTATCCAAGAATGAACGAATAAGTTATTCATTCTCGATTAAATAAGGTAACATAATCAGTCACGTTCCATTTATTAATATTATTTACCATGTGACATCAACGAGACAAATGTGATCATCAGTTTGTCCCACTATATCTAGTAACGATTAGTGCGTAAATTATTTTACACATTCTTTGAGTTTATGCGGTATACACTTCGGACACGGTCCACCAAATAAGGATGTTTGTGTCTGGCATTTTTTACCCCATTTTTCACAACGTTTCGTGGTCTCAATTGCGAGTTTGCGCTGGTTGACACATCTGTATACGCTATCTCGAGAGCAATTTTTAGGTTGGGCTAGCTCGTGGCCACAGAATTCGAAAAATGTGCCTGTAGAATTAAGATGTAATGGACACATGCACTCGCCAACAGATTCATCCATCAAGACCTGATCCATGAATTCTAGACTTGTACCATCGGTCGCGGGGAGCTTTCCAGCCCAGGATGTGACGATAATAATAGGGACAATGCACAGGAATTGCATTTTGTTCATCTTGCTGTGGATTACCGCCTTCAGACATTTAACAATTATTAATATACACAGGGATTCTAAAGTATACTTGATTACTTCCACATATTAGATTCTGTATAATGTTTTATTGCAATTACCTAAGCTCCTTGTGAGAATAGTCAAATTCCTCTATAGTGATTTCTGGGTTGTAATACAGGCCAGTACCAGAGATAGAATGGAAACTTCACTCCATTGTCTAGTTTTTATGTATTTGTTACATAAAAATAATTATGGCTTTACGACATTCTTCCTGTCTTTCAGGGCCTTTTGGTTCATTGTGGTTTGGCTGTGTTGCATCATCGTGTATCTTATTATCAAGGAGGGTATAAAGAGAACAATGGGACATCCACTAGTCGTGTCAACGGAAACGGAAGAAGTTGGGATTATGGATGTCGACTTCCCACAGGTCACAGTTAGTCACCCTGGTGGCTTGAAACTCACGTCCATATCAAGAGCAATAACGTAAGAGGTTATCAAGGCTTTACTCAAAGTTACAAGACATTCTAATTTTACGATGGATATAGCTACTCCGCTTTGCTTCTTCTGCTGTACAGTGAACGCTTGTAATTTTGTATAGAAATTATAAAACAGCCGTAGCCCTTGACAGTGTGACAGACGAGGATGGACTTTTATGGAGCGTGAAGGATACCCGCAGGCTTCTGCAAATTATAGATCAAGTTTGTTCCTGGAAAACGACTTATGCGGGACTGAACAACGTCAGAAATGAAGAAAATGGTAATACTGGCATATTCGTAAATCGAGATAGCTATAATCTCACTGATGAGCCATCATCCAACGCAATGACCGACAAAATTATTCCGTTCCTTAAGAAGGTATGGCTTGTTAAAATATGCGAATTCACTCGGTAAGCTGAGGTTTCATTTATAGGCAACATATGATTGCTCCAACGCAATCGCCGGATGTTTTCTTAATGAAATACTAGTCCCTTGCGGATTATTGTTCAAGAAACGCTTCTCCGAGTGGGGCAGCACATGCATGTTCAATGGAATTCCAGGGTTAGTCACCAGACGGTAAGCTTTAATTAATCTCAAATACTGCATTCTGGTGCTAAATTAGTTTCATAATATTAGTTATGTATGTTCGTTAGCTATGTTAGTTACATCATTGGATTACCAATTCAATGTTAAACATTCTTGACTGAATTAAATTCCCTAATCGATGCTGCCCCGGTCCCTGTAGTACTACGCTGCATGTCTCTTGAAGGTCTAGTGACAATTTTGGACATCTATCTATAGATTCCAAACCATTCAGACGGTCGTGAGTGAAGGGGAATATACCAACGACGAGCTAGAAGCATGGAGGAAGGCCAAATTAGACCAAGATATCGGACAAGAGCAACTTAAACCAAATGGTTCAATTCGTACTCCCTGGCGACAAACATCTCCAGGAAAAATGTCAGGTTTATCGTTTATCATAAAAGACGAGTTACTGGATAAAGCCTGTGTCCATAGCGAGGGGACAGGATTCATGGTATGTCTTTGTTTATGGTGGAAAAAGTTTCAATTAGAAGATTTAACTTCGAGGGTATTAACAATTTTGAAACCATGCTAAGCTCACCGTTGCTCATCCGTCTAATGAACCCAAAATTAAGCGTTTCGGAAAATCCATGCCCTTCGGACACGAAGTTTTCGTTTCAGTCAAGCCAATCATATTATTGGCGGATGGCGGAATTGGTGATATAGAAGTGGTATGACATTCGTATAAAATTCTTATAAAATTGTTCATAACACCTGGTTAACATTAATAATTTCTAAATCCTTGGTAAGGATCAACGAAAGTGTTTTTTTAGTGACGACAAGGGCGGTGCCAGGTTGAAGTTTTATGAGAAGTACACGCAGCAAAACTGTTTCCAGGAATGTATTTCTGATGCAGTCGACGCAAAGTGTAATTGTACTGGATTTCTAGCTCCTGGTAAACAATATATTCAACACTGTTATTCGAAAAATGTACAATAGCTACAATAGGTGAACCTGGACGAGCCTTGTGCGATACCTGGGGATCGATAGGGTGCGCTGCGGGAAAAGAAAGTGAGACCATCATATTAACATGTAGTATAAATGTAACTAAATAATTGGCACATTAATATGTTTATTTTCAGAGGAGATGTATGACCACGGCATTCAAGCATCTTGTAAGAAATGCCTACCTAATTGCAGACAAACCAAGTACACCACGTCCGTAACTTCTAGTCCATTAACCCAGAAACACATGGAGTGGTACAGGAACGAATATAAGCAGCAATTGATGTAAGCAAAGTAGGTGGAATTCAGCGGAGCCAACCCAGGGGGCCATACCCGACAATCCTGGTTTATTCCCGATTAGTTGTGAGCCAAAGAGTGTGACTCTCATTGATTGGTTCTTAACAACCAAACAGGAATAAACCAAGATTGTGGGATATGGCTATAACATCTAGGTTTGCTGTGCTGGTGTCATTTATAGTTTAGACTGGAACTAGTATCCATAACCCCCAGAGGTAACTATTAAAAAGCAAAGGTTTCAGATTCAGTTTCAAATTTCAGTTCCCTAATTCCGCAGAATTTGTGCATTTCGCACATATGCGACTAATTAAAGCTACCCGTTCATTCTTAAGAAATTTTACTATGCCAATATATGTATAAATATTTGAAGATATTGCATAGGTTAAAGGTTTTGGGAATATCATTTTAGTAATAATGAGACTTTCTCCATCGTGTACGTCTACTTCGAAATGGACTCCGTCCAAGCATCAAGGAGAGGTGCAAGATACAGCACCTTCGAAGAAGTTGGTAAATGTCATTCATCTTTTACTATTTGCATTGGAAGATAAAACTAAGTACCAAAATTGAATTAGGCCTCGTGGGTGGAACAATTTCCATGATCACTGGCCTCACATTGCTGGACATTATAGAAGCAATGGTCGTCATCGCGGGCTTAATTTTTGCCCAGCATAAGATACGGACGATGATCAGCGGCACGGACTGTAAGCACGCGCTCGAAAACTGGGTTAAAAAATTGCACCAATGCTTTTTAATCATTTCAGTTAACTGAACCAGCCTTATTCCACGCTTGCCATGGTTTGCCCCACTCCCCCAACAAATTGAGCTACCCATGGTTAATCTCCAGCCTTTGGACGATCAGGAAATTGTTGAGCAGGCTGCAATTGATGTCCATCCAACGGATCCCATAGAAATTGTCGAGCATCCGATTGTCACAATCGGCATAGTATTTCGAAGTGACCACTTTAACAATTCAAGATTTCCTTTGTGCCTCTCATTCGAATCAAGGATTGAGATACCCATAAGAAAAAACCTTGGACAACAACGCGGATGGAATTTCTTAACGAGGTTCCACATCTACCCACCAACCAAACAATCTGCAGATAATCTACCGCCTAATCTCTACGAAGAACGGTTCTTTTCAAGTAGATGGATGACACCTTACTATCCGACAGGATATCACGTTTTGCTGCTAGAACCGGGTGGTAACTTAAAAATGTGGGGTAATAAAATGATAACTCTTGTGAACGAAAACTCTGGTCTTAATATGTTAGCCATGTTTGTAAATAATAGCGTAATAGTCAATTTCCAAGGCACGTGCGGGAGTTTGAAGTGAGACATGTGTTTTTTTTCTCCTCTCCCACTAAATTTCAAGAGAAATTATTTTCTCGAGGAGAGGAGGTGGGGGTGCCACATTTTTGTGTTGAGTGTGTAGGGGGGAGTGGGATGCATGTCAAGGTGGGTGGTTCACAACAGGGAACCACCCCCACACTTTATTTTCACCCAAATCTTTGCATGCCACGTGCCCATCAACGTGGCTGCAATATGTTTTAGTAAAACATTACTAATATTTTTTTTTTTTCAATGCAGGTTGGTGAGGAGGAGGAACAAGTGCCCTGGACGGAATGGACGGGGTGCTGCTCTCAGTCCCTCCTAAACAAGCCACCCTGAACTCGGTTACCGCGCCGATTCTGGGGGAGGGGGACGGGACTGAGAGCAATAAGTGCACGTTCAGGCGGTCAGTCCGTCGGCCTTGTGCCAAGTCCCTACCACTGTCAATACTACATACGCTGCGGTGGGAAGCGCAATGTAACGAGTCCATTACTGGTGGGGGCTCTGCTGCGCGGTGGTATGGCCCCGGCGGACCTACCCTCGTGGGGCTACGACCCACTGAGCTTCTCAGGAGTTGGTCGTGGCGGTTACGAAACCACGGGGGGGGGGTTCTTTTTGGGCCGGTCATCGTGCGGTGGAGGATTCGCTACCTAGAATGGACCGAAAAACTGGGAGGCGTAGCAATATGCCACCAGAATTCGGGGGAGAATGTCCAGATCTCTTTCTGGTCCTGACTCAATTCATAGTCAGGACCGGAGGATTTTTAAGTCATGAGAGGATTTATCTTAGGGGAGGTGTGGAATTCAGCGCATTAAGGCACGTGCCGTGTAATTGGGGAGACTGCAATAAGCCATAAGTGCTTACGCAGCTGATTGGTCCTGCCCAATTAATGGCAGGATCATCACCCCACCAAATACATACATACACATACATAGTCAATTTCCAGTTCTGCTGCAGATATGGTCATGGTTGTTTTCAAGTTTGTTACGATATTGCACTTGAGAAATTGGAGGAAGTAGGAATAGAAAAACTAGCCAAAGCGTTTAACACAATGGCCGACAAACCCCCTTTGGTTATTTATCGCAACCGAAAATACGTGGACTATAGAAATATTAAACCCTCAGACATAAGAAATGATGAGAGGATACTGATCAACTCGTTTCTGCAGGATTGGAATGTTCATATTTCCTCCAAAGGGAACCTCATCTACTACCGAATAGTACACTAGTACAGAATCAATGCTTATCTTCTCAGATTAAATATCCCACAATCACCATGGATGCCCAATTTGGGGTGGAACTTGTAAAAAGTTTACGTCCTTATGGTTTCCTGAGTTGTTCAAAGAGGCGTACGCCAAAAACATCGCTAGAAAATTTGATCCATATATTTTCCTGGCATTTGTGGACTCTTCTTATAAGCACTTCAATTCTTCTTGGTGTTTTTCTTCTGTCGACTTCGAAATCAAAAATTTCAAAATTAGAGATTTTGTCAATAGGATACAACATTTTTCTGGAACAAGGCTCCTCAATTGCGAGAAATGCAAAAGGAGAGACGCACATTTACTTTGCTTGTGGCCCATTCCTTTTAACGTCACTCATTACCTCGACCATATTCCGTAGTGACAACGTGGACAAAACAATTGCCCCTATTCGTGTCCTTCCTTATGAAAAGTTTGACCAACTAGTTGAAAATGGGTTCCCTTTTGTCGATGAATTAGTGAATTACGAAGCATGGGAGATGTTAGTTCCTGGGTGGTGGGCGGCCAATAGTTTGGCCCTCGCAACAATTGATACATCCTTTTCGAGGTTATCATCAAAGGCTTTTCATCATTTCTTGATGGGGAATGTCCATGTTAATCATACTCGCATTAGACCTGAAACCAACATCTGGTGGAATTATCCACACCAAATTCTTTCAAATTCTAGCGGATTTTCTTGTGGATCGGAAAAAATGGCGTATCTCGGCTGGCTTGAGAAGTTAGAGGAAGCAAAGGCGTATCTGGAAAATTTTCAGCCAGGCCCAGAATACAGTATTGGGAAGGAGTATGTAGGAGTGGTGCCGACCGGTTGGGTTTTCGAAAATATTGTTGACCCCAGAATTCTAGTTAGAATGAGTACATTGCATCATTCTGGTATTGCCAAGAAAACGATGCGGTATCAAGAGATGGCGGGAAAGTTGCGGAATCGCATTCCTTCAAAAGATTTTGAGTCAAAAGCATTAACCCTGGATGGAAATATTGCACAAATTTTCAAAATCGTGGCTCAGATTTTGTTCGGTACGGCATGCATATTTCTGATTGAGGAAATCTACTGGAAACTGTGGCATGTAAATATTAAGCAGTTTTGTATTTTGTGCATTATAATGATAAAAAAGGGTTTATCTAGAATAGTTGCCTGCGGGGCGGGAGCTTTAGAAGTACTTAGTTTAATTATTAGAAAGAAAAGGAAGTAAGGAAAGGAGGAGAGCTCGCTATTCACGCAAATGTCAAGTTAAAATAAGCTACATTGGCAAAGTTGTATATGCCAACATGCATTTGCTCACATATTTAAATATGTATATACTTTTTATATTTGTTCTGTATATTATATTCTGCATTGTTCATTTCTTACTTTCTTGACTTTGGTACTATTTAGATTAATAACATGCAATTAGAGTAGATGAAAAAATATTTTTATCACTAACCCCAGCATTAAATGCCACAAACATGACCGCAATGCTGATTTTGCAAAACTAACCACTAATTTTGCTAGAGATCCTTGAGACAATTTCTCGTTTTTTTTCTAAGCAGATATGCCTTGTCGAAAATGAATGGCAATCCAAAATTTGGATTCCAAATTATGAAATGAGAGTTTAATTATTGATTTATTTAGAACGAATAAGATAAATATCACCACTCTGAAAATATTGCGTACGCTCTCCGAGCTCATATGTGAATAGGCGCTAGTTAAATCTACTTGCTTTAATCAAATTAAAAATTCTTAGAGATATATGTAAATAATAAATTATTTGAAAGGAGCAACAACTAGTTTAACGATTATATTAAAAATATATTTTGGTACTGCAGTATAATCCTTAATGCATAAGGACGAAATCACCGATTTTAATCCAGAAACGGTGTCAATGGCACCGCGTATAATTTTGTATCAAACGCATATTCCTGGTTTCCAGAGGTGGGCAATATACATGTATATTGAATATACATGTATATTATATACAGTATATAATATACTTTTTGTATATTGTATATTGTATCTTAAAAAATAAAATAAAAGTATATTGTATATTGTATATTGGACAAAAATCTGCTCTCCAAATATACAATATACAGTTTCTTCTCATGCCCAAGAAATGAGCGGATTATTTGGTTTCCCATCTTCAAGTCGGTTCAAAGTTTCACATCTACGTTGTTACTCGCATCGTTGAAGTAAAATATTAAAACAAAATTTGTTAAAATAATTCGGGGGATGTCAAATTCAAGTGACCCTGGCTCCGACGACCTCAGAATTTACCCTGTCATTTTAGATGGGACATTTTTTGTAGTTAAATCTGTTGACAATAATGGAAAAACTGTACTGGCAAAATGCAATTTGTGCACGGTTAAAACCGTTATTAGTGGATCGTTGGCTGCTACTGGAAACTTTGTACTTCATTTGAAGGTAAAAT